GTAAATTTATGGCAAGTCATCAGAAAAATAATGTAAATATAAGAAATGAATTTAATTTTTGAAGATTCATGAGGTATATGAACTACAACGCTTCACGCCGGTGTAACGACGGAAAGTGACCCCCGTAGAATATTGACCGGGGGTCCTTTTTCTACGTAGAAATGTGACCCCCTGGTCATTATTCTACGTAGAAAAATGACCCACTTTTCTGTAGAAATTATGACCTTGGGGTCGTTTTTCTCCGTGTGCATTGTAGAAAAATGACCCCGTAGAATAATGACCCCTTTGTCAATTTTGATGCAAAAACGTTCGTTTTGGTCGGAATATTCTTGTTAGGCAAATGTATACTGGTAATATCAAGCTGCCTTATGCTTTGAGGTGTTTGTTTTTTTTGAAAACTTGTAAGCTTAGATAACGAAATCAAAGCTATACAATACCTTATATTTTAAATAATACAAACTGTTTTATTTCCATTAAAGGAAAGCAAGATTAACATGTTCTAACTAAAGGTTATTGGAGCAAAGATACGCGCATTCATATACACGTTTATTACATTTTATACAGTAAGTTTCCACAGTTGTCATTTTAATCTTAAAAATTTTTCTAGCTGGTGTCAGAAAAAAGTTTCCAGATGTATCTCTTTGATTTTATCTTGGATAAATAATTTGCAAAAATCCAAATGAAGTTTTTTTTTCAAAACCTTAACGTTTTTTATCCCTCCTTTTAAAACTGGCGCGAAAAAGGACGCTAGCTTAGAGAATTAGATTTTATAAAAATATTTGGTTTCCTATGAATGAAGTTTCAAACTACTTATAAAAAATAGGAATGATTTACATGCAATTTGTAAAAATAAGTACGAAATTAAATTGCCTCTGACCTGTGATACAAGGGAAACAAAAAGAGTTGTAAAATGTCTTTTGTCGGTTGCTTTTGTCAGCAAAACCTTAACAAAACGGGGGTTGTAGTATGAAACATGATTAAAGTATAAGTCACATTATCCAACGATGGGGTATACGATGAGAAACCGATGCGTTTTTGATGAAAATGGCGTGGTTGCCGGCCGGGCACCACTAGTGATCGGACGGTGACTGAGTCTTTTTTGCGAATCGGTGGGGTCATCGGTAGGAAATAATTCGTAGTTAAAATTCAGCGATGTCTCCAACGATGCCTCACATCGCTCCTCATCGGCAACCCATCATTAACACATCTTTCAAGGATCGGCCGATGTATGGCCGAGCATCGTCCAATATCCGTTGAATCTGAGGTCATCGGGGGGTTGAGTAGTGTTCAACAGATAACGACCGATCATCGGTCGATGTTCGACCAAACATTGGCCCGTAGTCGACCGATGTACGAACGATGTTCACCAATGTATGAGCGATGTAATATACATCGGCCAATTATCCTGGAACATCGTTTTATGCTTAGCAATGCATCGCTGAACCTTTATAAGTCCGGCCGGCAACCACGCCATTTTTCTCATAAAACGCATTGGTTGCCCATCGTATGCACATCGCTGGATAATGTGACTGATACTTTAAGGACTACTGGGCCGATGTGGACCGATGTTGGGGCATCGTTAACACCACGGATTACTATCGATTACCACCGGTCTACGGCTATCGGCCGGGAAATGTGACCTAGGCATAACTAAAAAAACAAGTGTTCGTCTTCCCAAAAATTGGCACATGGACATGTAGTATCGTTTTCCCCGTTCTACATGTACTTACATATGATGATTTTAGGAGTTTTTTTACCAACAGAAAAAAATGTTACTTTACGTTATATTCATGCCCCAAAACGTAATCGAAGTTTCAGGGGTATAATGTCTGCAAAAACTTGAACCTTGTCCATAACTTTAGACTGGGTGGAACTATGGTTTTCATATCTCACGGGTGTATTTCTGTGTCAAGACCTTTTTCTGTTTGCACAACCAATTTTGAACTTCTGACATTGACCTTGGAGTTCGACACACTTTTACACAAAAATTCCACACTTTAAACATAATAGACCTTAAACAATGTTCAGTGAAAACAAATAATTAAAGCAAACCAAGAATAAGGGTAGAAGACAGTCGAAGGTGAGGAAAGCCAAGTAGCAGGTCCTTGGTCACGATAATTACTGTATAAATACTGCCGCAGGCGATAACGGTCATTCAGAGGCATAGGAAACCCTAATTACTGTACGTATAAATGCAATCAAGCATTTAACGTTTTAAAACAGATTGTTCAATGCATTAAAATTAATAAGCTTAAAAATATAAATCCGAGTAACCGAGTACCGATTTTTAGTATTCGATACTCGGACGTTCGATCGAGTACCCGGTTAACCGGGTACTCGTTGACATCTCTAGCATTAACTTCTGGACGGTATGAGCTAGGACTTTATATCGAAGTAATGGCATGATAGACTAAGACTTAGTTTGTAAGGCTCATTATATAAATTGTATTTTAGAATTTAATTCTACAACTGGTAATCCAACTTATACTCATACTTCCCTTTCTAGGGAAGAAGTTCTTCAAAACCATATGTCAGTTATAAATATTTTTAATATTCAACAGAGCATTTGAACTACCTACCCTACCAATATCTTTGATTCCGAAACTTCATAAGAATCCTTACAAACAAAGATACATTGCGGATTCCAGTAAATGTTCAACCAAGGCTCTTTCGTCACTCCTCACTAAGATATTGACAGTAGTGAAGGAAAAACTTCAAGAGTACTGTGCAACAATATACTAGTATTCAAGAAGTGATGTGAATCAGATGTGGATACTTAACAATTCCAAAGAACTTTTGGACAATTTGAAATCATAAGATTTTACCAAAATCAACAGCTTACGACTTTTCAACTTTATGCATAACCATTCCTCACGATGAATGAAAGTCCAGGCCTTTTGACAGCTGGTTTTTTCAATAAGAATGGAACTCGTAAATTCATTCACCTTGTCACTGGTCATTTGCAAAATTATTTTGTTAAAACATACTCTGAATGTACACACAAGTACTCTGAAGTATATAAAAAAGATGCTTGAGTTTCTGATTGACAATATATGTCACAGTGTGGATTTTGGAGACCAGGTATTACAACAATCTATTGGAATTCCCATGGATACCAATTGCGCTCCGTTATTAGCAGACCTATTTTTGTATTCATATGAAGCAAAATTTGTGCAAAATCTTATACGTAAGAAATCACTTGCGGTGGCCTTCAACTTGACATTTAGATAAATCGACGAGGTATTGTCAATTAACAATGGTTATTTCCAATCCTACGTCGAAACGATATATCCCGAAGAGCTTGATACCACAAAGTCTGACACATCTGATTCATACTTGGAAAGACGTTAATGCTAACAACCAAGCTATATGATAAACGTGAGGACTTTAACTTTTCTTTTGTCAACCTCCCTTACTTTTGCAGCAATATACCTTCATCACCTGCATACGGAGTGTATATATCTCAGTTGACTCCATACGCGAGGGCATGTTATACGTATGAACAATTTCTTAAACGAGTTAAATTACTGACAAGGAAGTTGATGAAACGAGTATATCAGCAGTCTCGTTTAAAGTCATCATTTTGTAAGTTCTATGGTCGATACACTGACCTTGTCAGCAGATACCATTTATCACTAAGTCAAATGCTGACTGACGTTTTTCGTGCCGACTGTTAGTCCATTATTTTTAGATTCAATTGACGACGGAGTGTTCCGTTATTTCCCGATCATGACAAGGAGCAAACGGTGGGTATGTTCACTCCTCCATGGCACCTGATGACACCTCTGATGTTTCGGAGGTCCGTGTTTGCTATGCATCTATTTTGTATTGTTTTATGAACTTTAATATTGAATACTGTTCGTTATCTCCATATCCTTCTTCCATACAGATATATATATATAAGCCTAAAAGTAAGAGCTAAAGGAATTGAATTAATATAGTTAAATAACGTTGCTTCTTTGCTATGTTTTTGTAAAATTTTTCAAAGTTTATAGTTATCAGAAACATATGCTATTTTCGGAACAAAACCTTTGAATGATAAAGAAAACACACAAAAAAAAATAATAATCATAATCATAAATTTATGCTCCTCAATTGATAAATATTCATTGGGATTCTGCAAGCCAAAAATAAATCCATTACAGATACATTGATTGTGATGCTACTTTTAAGATATGCAATCAAATTTATGTTGGAAAAAGTTAAAGTACATAAAAAATCCTACTTGCATTTGAAAGTATGAAAAAATATCAGGAGACACATACATAAGGTTTCATTGTATAAAAACGTAGGGGGTCAAATTTCTACGGGGGTCATTTTTCAACGTGTGTGGAGTCGTAGAATTACTGGTCTTGAATGTTTTTCCACAGTCGAAAAATGACCCTACTTGTCGTAGAATATTGACCCGGGGTCATTTTTCTACGTAGAAAAATGACTCCCTGGTCAAAATTCTACGGGGGTCACTTTTCGTCGTTACACCGGCATATTTATCATGAAGCGCTAACGCGCTTCATGAAACATGCCGGTGTGAAGCGTCGTAGTTCATAACCTAACGCGCTTCATGAAACATGCCGGTGTGAAGCGTCGTAGTTCATAACCTAACGCGCTTCATGAAACATGCCGGTGTGAAGCGTCGTAGTTCATAACCTCATGAATCTTCAAAAATCAAATTCATTTCTTAATTGTACTTCTACAACTAGAAAGAATAATAAACTAGAAAGATAAATAATTAACAACTATTAGCAGCATGAGATTAAGTGCACACAGTCTTGTTATAGAAACAATTTTTACCAAGGGATAGACGATTTTACAATTAGCTATGACGGACAAAGGAAAGCAACATCAATTTACTTTTTTAAGCTTATAACCACATGTGTATCTACCTTTATTATACAACACAGTTGTTCTCTACAAAGTAAGGACTATTCGTTTCTTTATATTAAATAAACATTAATTTAAGATGTTTAATTTGTTTCCTTCTCTTTTTTTTTTTTAAAAATCGTCAACGAAATAAAAAGTATTACAAACTAAATAAATCACAATTAATTCAGTATACAGCTGCATTTGTCGTTGGTTTGCTGCTGGTTTGCTTGGAATGGTTCTCGTCGCCTGTTGAAGCTCGTTGGTGGGACGAAGAATCAAAATACAAGGTACATGAAGTGATAAAAAGGCAATAAAACGGTCAATTGAAACAATAATAATTAAAGAAAAGGGACAATATTTACCAATGTACAAGAACAAACTTCTTCTGAATTTAAGAAATAGTTTTGTTAGAAATCATTAATCTCCGTATGTTTTTTTTCAGTGGGTATCTTAATGCTGAAGGACATTGGTCTACTGAAATTATTGATATATGTAAAATCTAAGATGTAGGATTATTGATAATTTTTTCGCACTTAATTTTTCAGTCATGCTTAGATTTCTTATTAGTTCTAAGGCAAGGCCAAATATATTGGCTGGTTTGCTGACTTCCCAAAGGATAGGATAAGAAGATGACAAGAAAGTTGTGTTTTCTAACTGTATTTAAAAACATTCCTCTGTGTCTAAAAACCCTTTCGAGTTTTGTCCCAATTTTAAATGTTATAATTGTATAATACATAAAAAATAAATATTCTTTAACACGATATATTTCATTTTCTTCAGTCTACATCAATGAGGTTTGTTGGATGCGATTGATTTTATCATTGTTTTGGGTTTGAAGGTCAATGATGTCAAACAAGATTTAGAGAGTGCTGTGCACGAAATGCAAAGAACGCAACAGATGCAATATCTGTCCATAAAGAAACTCGAAGAAAGACTAAACAAACAGGAAGCTTTGACCTCTACACAAGCAAACATATCAAAAATCAATCAACGTAAGTTAGAGCATCTGGAAAACACTGTGGCAGAACAGAAGAAATTGATCTTGGAGTTGTCAGAGAAAAATAATTTAAAAAATGATGCGGATATCCATAATTTGATACACTCAACAAATTCTACAGGAGAGAACAAAAATAGAAAGGATCTAACAAAATCATTCATCTCTGGAAGCCAAAAAGCATTCATCGAGGGAGTGATTTCACGACCAGAACGAGTTGTAGCAGCAGGTAGGTACATGTATCACTTGTTTGTCAAGATCCGAAAACCTCTAACACAATCAACTGACCTTACAAAACATTGAAATACAAATGTATCACTATATTTATGTTTTGAATCAGCAACACTTTGTTAACAATTTGAACATAAATTCTTAAGGGAACTACTAATGAAATAATTTTTCTGTTATTAAAACTGTTTTTATTACATATACATGTACTTTTCATAATATTTGCTAAACATTACCTTAGCTAAGAGCTGCCATGTAAGGTCTTTTGCTGATTATGTGCATACAATTTTAGATAACGGCGTAGCCTTTTATGCATATTTGCCAAGAAAAGAACTACATCCCGCACCAGGCCATACCCTTATTTTTCGGTCAGTTGTTACCAATGCTGGCTTCCATTATAATCAACACAATGGAATGTTTACATCCCCTGGTAACGGAGTATATGTATTCACATGGACTATTTCCGTATGGGATTTCCTTGGAACAGAACTGGTTGTCAACTCCTATCCAGTTGGGGCAACGTACACAACTGGAAAGGATGTATTGGACATAAGAACAACGACTGGGGTGGTTGTTGTAATGCTCAATCGAAATGATGTTGTTTATGTGAGGGTTAATGCTGATTCAAGAGTAAGTCATAAAGGAGATATTTGGAGCGACTTTTACTACAAAACTTCGTTTTGTGGTTGGAAACTGTTTTAAATATGGAGTCCATGTACATTGTACTAGTACGTAATGTATGTTTTGCCTCTCTTGATAAAGGAAAACTGAAAATAAAGCATTTAGTTAATTTAAAATAAAAGTAGAGAATATCATTTTCATTCTAAAGGGACAAAAGGATTTTATAACGTTACTACTTACTAACTGAAGGCAACTGAAAGTGAAAAACAGCTGCTACGTTAAGTGTGAATTATGCAAAGGTACGAGGTGAAAATTGTAAGGCTAATAAAATATGTAATGAGTATTAGATCCTTCAATGACTCTTCTCCATATAATGTGTAAAAGTTTAGGCCGTGGATATCGGCCAGTGTCTTAGAGGACAAAGACAATTTAAGGAGGGAGAAATGTAATGGTTTGGTTCCTGGATATCGGGCTGGGTAGCTCATCTCACTAAGCGCCTCACTACTGATGCAGGATTCCCTGGTTCAATTTCCTGTCTAGCCATACATTTTCTCCTTTCCTTTTACAAGTGCATATTTCAAAAACAGAAAACTTTATAGTTTTTTTACTTACTAAGCATACTTTTTAAAGGTCGAGAGATAAACTATGGAGATAACAAAAAGTAACTGTTTTAAAGCTCAAAAGTACACTAAAGCAATATAAATCGAGAGTAGAGCAAACATTGTAAATAAATCTGTGGTGAAATAAGTTAACAATGAGAAGTAAACATCCCCTGTCACCGGTCACAACCGCCATGGCTTCCTTGACAATAATTGGACAAGAATGATATGGAGATAACGAATAGTATTCAATCTCAAAGTCCAAAAAACAATACAAAATAGAAGCAGAGCAAACACGGAACTCCGAAACCTCAGAGGTGGGATCAGGTGCCATGGAGGAGTGAGCATCCCCTGCTGTCCGGTCACACTCGCCGTGTGCATCTTATCATGATGAAGGGAAAAATCCGTCGTCAATTCAGTGTATAAATAATGGACTAACAATTAGTATGAAAAACGTCAGTCAACATTTGACTCAATGGTAAATTGTATTTGCTGACAAGGTCATTCTATCGACCATAGAACTTACGAAATGATGACTTCAAACGAGACTGATGATATTCTTGTTTCATCAACTTGCTTGTGAATAATTTACCTCGTTTTAGAAATTGTTCATACGTAGAGCATGCTTTTCAGGTGATGAAGGTATATTGCTGCATAAGTAAGGGAAATTGACGATAGAAAAACAAGTGGCAAAATCAATAGAGGATTCAGTGTGTGAATAACGATTTTACAATTAGGACTATGATCGAAACACTTCAGTCAACATTCGACTTATACTGGGCTTAATGATAAACTGTATTTGCTGACAAGATCATTGTATCCATCATGAAACTTTTGAAATGATAATTTTCAATCAGACTGTTGATATCCTTGTTTCGTCAACTCGTTGTTAAGAAGCTTGCCTCGTTTTAAAAATTGGTCATACGAGGAGTAAGATCTTGTATATATCAAATGGGAGAAATAAAGTCGATACACAGATGATAAAGGTGTATTACTACATAAGAAAGGGAAGTTGACAACAAAAACATTGAAGTTGATCATTACGTAGATTACCATTAAAATGTAACATCTTTTTCTAGTAAAATATCCAATTATGAAACATAATGTCCACCACAGTATATTACTATCGCCACAGTAAGATCATAACAAACAATCGTAAGAAGATAAAATCAAGACCAGGTGGTACATTCAACAGAATATTCCAGTCAAATTTAGCATACCACTGTACCGGTATTACAAAGCCCTAACTATTGATCTGAAATATGTCAGTCAAAATACCACACAATGATACATGTCAGTTACATTTCTAAGCAGGTCATTATAAGGATTACACAGTTTACGAAATACTTACTTTAAAGGAGGTTTCTGAAATCACTGTTAGATAAATATACACTGGACAAAATTGCTAACGCAACACCTGAGAGAAGTAGTGTTTTAAGTTTAAAAATCTGTTAATGATGTATTTGGTATATAAATATGTTACTTTAATAAAAACTGAGGCATATAAATCCCTATAGATTACTACAATGTTTACTGAGAGTGACCAATTCAAAGAAAATTAAAAAATCGTATCTATTCCATTTTCAAAGAGAAAAAAATCAATTTTTTCTTCGTATTTGTGTTCTTTACACTCCTACTAATTAAAAATTCAGGAAAAGAGTTACACCGCATGCGGCGTTTGACACTAGAGGAGCGTGCTAATGCAGACAGAATGGCGTCTGCAGGGGGTTTCTTTACGGAAATCTGTAAAAAATGAAAACAATACAAAGCTTATCAATTCCACTCATGAACAAGAGGCCCATGGGCCACATCGCTCACCTGAGCACCAAGGGTAGGACTAGTATAAAATGGATTTTTATTGTAAAGTTTAAATCCAAAAGTAGTCCCATGACCAATCATGGATTTGCTATTTTTTAGAAAATGATTGGGAAGAAGACTTTTAAAGAATTTTCCTATATATTTCTATGTAAAACTTTGGTCGGCCATTTTGGCCCCGCCCTACCCCCAGGGGTCATGATATTGAATCTACACTACCTGAACATGCTTCCATATAAATATGATGAATAATGGCTTTGTCATTCTTGAGAAGAAGATTTTTAAAGAATTTTCCTATATATCTCTATGTAAACCTTGGTCGGCCATTTTGGCCCCGCCCTACCCCCGGGGGTCATGATTTGAACAAACTTGAATCTACACTACCTGAGCATGCTTCCATATAAATATGATGAATTATGGCTTTGTCATTCTTGAGAAGAAGATTTTTAAAGAATTTTCCTATATATTTCTATGTAAAACTTTGGTCGGCCATTTTGGCCCCGCCCTACCCCCAGGGGTCATGATTTGAACAAACTTGAATCTACACTACATGAGCATGCTTCCATATAAATATGATGAATAATGGCTTTGTCATTCTTGAGAAGAAGATTTTTTAAAAATTTTCCTATATATTTCTATGTAAAACTTTGGTCGGCCATTTTGGCCCCGCCCTTACCCGGGGGGTCATGATTTGAACAAACTTGAATCTACACTACATGAGCATGCTCCCATATAAATATGATGAATTATGGCTTTGTCATTCTTGAGAAGAAGATTTTTAAAGAATTTTCCTACATATTTCTATGTAAAACTTTGGTCGGCCATTTTGGCCCCGCCCTACCCCCGGGGGTCATGATTTGAACAAACTTGAATCTACACTACCTGAGGATGTTTCCCCGTAAGTTTCATCTTTCCTGGCACAGTGGTTCTTGAGAAGAAGATTTTTAAAATATACCACTAAATTTTCATTAATTCCCAATTATCTCCCCTTGAATAAGGGTGTGGCCCTTCATTTGAACAAACTTGAATCCCCTTCACCCAAGGATACTTTGTGGCAAGTTTGGTTGAAATTGACCCAGCGGTTCTTGAGAAGAAGTCGAAAATGTGAAAAGTTTACAGACAGACAGACGGACAGACGGACAGACAGACGGACAGACAGACAGACAGACAGACAGACGGACGCCGGACAAAATGTGATCAGAAAAGCTCACTTGAGCCTTCGGCTCAGGTGAGCTAAAAAGTGTTGCCAATAGATTAGCAAGCATAAAAATGTTTACAATAGATTGCAACGACACTAAGTTAGCAGTATACAATAAGTTGAAAATTGCTCCACAAAACTAGGTCAACCGGAAGTTGAGTGGATTTGGTAAGGACACTAAGGCACCAAATGATTACTAGGTGAAATGAGAGTCAGTGACAGTTTGTTATTTGATATATAACTTTGGGAATACTCTGGCAACCTCATGCACAGTCCACCTTTAGTGATCAAGAATTTCATATCGGGGCAAAAACGGCGCGCAGTGTAGATCTGGAAATGGGTTTTCGGACAAGAAGGCCATTCAAGTGTCTCTTCATGATATCAAAACATTTGTCAGACCCACTGTTTTGGAAAGAATGGCATATTATATATACTAGTAGCGATCCGGCAAATGTTCAATTCACAAATACTGTTTACCAACAATTATTCGTTTGCAAGAAATTTTCGCGAAGTTCGCGAGAGCTCCATCATCGCGAATATTTCTCACCGCGAACCGGTCCTTAAAGTCTATATGCCTATTAACAACATATCCAAAATATGCCTGATCGCGAAAATTAATCGTCGCGGACTAGTTTATCCTCGGCAAATCGCGAAATAAAGTTGTCGCGAATAATATTAGGTTTACAGTAAGAATTAACAAATGGTGCGTTAGCAGTTTTGCCTAGTGTATATGTCAGTAGTCCGTCGCGATTTAAAATTCATAGGACTCGAAGTTCTGTTGAGTATCGAATAATTTGTGAAACATCAACACGCTATGCAGGTGATACATGTAGCTGAACATTACCGTAAATAAGGAAATTTGAAAATAGACAACCAAGCTGAAGTCATCTCATTTATCATACAGATGAGCTGCCAATCGGCCTTTATAGTCTATAGTCAGTAAAAAAAAATCCTATATGAGACAAATGTTGTTTTTAATTTCGAGCTCACTGCCATAGGATACATCGAGTTGACCTATGAATGAAAGTAACAAGTGTTTATTGATAATACGTCATCGATATATCTAAAATTTAATGTCGAATTGAAGAACATGGTTAGTATTTCTTTCTTAAGTTTAAGTTTTCGAATAAAATATGTTTCATTTCTTAAAGAGAAATGCTTTTTTTTAATGGAGTGCAATTAGTACCAATGGGAATTCCGGCATATTATTGGAAGACATGCTCTCCAAAAACCGCATAGATGCATGTATTGTCAATCAGAAACTCAAGTATCTTTTAATGCCATCCACTGAGCGCATGTCTCTATAAGCAGAATATTTTTCAACAAAATTATTTTGCAAAAGATAGTACTCTGCATGTTCAAATTTCACATTCAGAAAATATCTATTTAAAGTTAAAATACAATTGTGATGAGGAAAGAAAAATATGATCTTTTAAATCTCTCACATCGAAATATATATGAGGTACACGCAAATATATTAGAGTACATGAAATATTTGATCTATTCAAAAACCAGAGAAGAATCTTACCTTAAATTTGCTAATATAAAGGCAATATAGATCAAAACATGCAAAACTATTCAGAAATAAGCTGTACGTGATTGATTAATTGTATTTTGTTTAACGTCCCATTTGAGAATTTTTAACTCATGTGAAGACGTCAGCATATGCCGGTAAAGAACTTCAAATATAGATTTTTAATCGGCACTAAGGGCTATTAGGCAGTGAAGATTCTTTATCGTGCCAACACCTACCGTTACAAGAGGCCTCGGTTTTTAATGTCTCACCGAAATACGTTCACCTTTCGTGCCGAGCGATTGGCGAAGGAACATCACTACCAATATTTACGTCAAAGATTTGACGCTGCTCGGCGAAGGAGAATCGAAACCGGACCTACCGATTGTTAAACTGTAACTGACTGAAAAAAGTAGTACTATTATACTAAATTCCAAATATGTCTATTAAAAACTCAATAAGAAATGATCTACATAATAATAAATTATCTACATGATCTACATAAGCTGAAATTATTTACTTTATTGCCATGTTTTAACACTTGATTTTAGACCAGCGGCTGATTATGTACAGGATTAGGAGGAAGAGGTTGAGAATGTCCAATTAAAGGTTGAGGGCGGCAAAGACGTATTCCTCTTGGGACAAACTGTACGTATGACTCCCTCCTAGCATAAGTTGGGTATCAAAAGCCAGATACTAAAAAACAATCCAAAATGCTGTAACTTTGGTTATAAAGAATATAGAGAAAAAATACATTATTAGAAATCAACCATTATATATAATAGCAAGAAATGGTGTTTATACATAGAAAAAAATACACCCACTTTCCTTAGATAATTTTCAAGGTTATAGTCGACAAAATTACCTAGCTGTTGCTCCAAGCAAAACTGACTCACACAAAGTCTGAAAATATGTATAGGGAACATTTTAAAATATTCGGAATTGCATTTATAATTATTAAAATTCCATGAAGAAAAATAATGGACTCTCAATCTTGTTTAGCTTCATTTTAAACCTTTTTGGTGATATTTTTCAAAATATACAGCTTCCGTTTATTTTCATTGCCACAATGTTATACACATAGGTTAGATTCCAAACAGAATTTTAAATATTGTGTCCTGAGAGTAACACCCCTGCAAACAATCTTATGAAATTGATCTAAAATACGTGTTTTAATAAACAGTTTTCCACAAACTAACAAAATAAAATTTAAAAAAAATAACTCTTGCCTTTTTATCTATGGATAAAATGGCAAAATTATAGATTATATCATTCATGCTATGGTTTGCTGGGGTGTAAATCTCATACCACAAAGTGACATTGACAAAAATTTTGACCAAAGTAAAAACGGTTTCTTCAAAAAAGAAATTTGCCTTTATCAAAAAATAGAGAGCAGAACATTTACAATGCCATAAACTTACAAATATACCGAGGAAAAGCATACTCATTGGAGACTTTAGTCTGATACCTTCACAGCACGACAGTACTATTATGGTTACAAAGGTAATGGCACTGGAAAACAAGATGTGCTTGTGAAACACTGATGCCCCTGTTTGGCATTTTCTGGCGAGGATCAAAATTTTACAAATTCAAGCTAATCTCCAAGGTCAAAGAAAAAATTGTTGGTACCCAGTCTTCTCACAAGGAATACACCTGTGAAATATGAAAAATATTGCCCCACCCACTCAAAATTCTCTGAGAAAGTTAAAGATTTTTTCGGACAAACAGAAAAACAGACAAACAGGAGGGTGGACAGTGCAAAATCAATATACCCTCGAATCTTTGAATACAGGGGCATAAGAATGATAACAAAGCGGTTTAAAATTTATAGTCAAGTCAATCGAGCAAAAATTTAGGTTCCACATTAAACAACTCGCAAGGAAATTTTTCTGTAAAAAATAAATAAAATTTAGCATGTTTTTTAGTGTTTCTTTAAGAAAAAGGATGTGTTTGTGAAACAATGATGCCCCCGTATCGCAGCTTATGGCGAAGTTTTTAAAATTCAAGTCAAACCTTAAGGTCAAATTGTTGGTATCAAAAGGAAGGTTTTTGCACAAGGAATAGAGCTGTGGAATGTAAAAGTCCTGGTACTAAATGTTTAAAAGGTGTGGCCAAGGTTAGAGTTTTTAAAATGTGGGTCAACCTCTACAGTAGTTTCAAAAAGGCAAAAACTTGATGGTACCTATAAAAGAAAGGTCTTGACACAATGAACACACGTGTAAAGAAAGCCCTAGCACCAACTGTTCAAATTTATAACCAAGGTTAAACTTTGGTATTTTGTTGTAAATGTAGGTCAAACTCTAAGGTCAAGGTTAAGTGATCAAATTTGGTGGTACCCAGTGGAAGGTCATCTCACAAAAACTACACCTGTGGAGTATCAAAGTCATAGCCCCACCCACGTAAAAGTTATGGGCAAGGTTAAATTCAAAAATAAAACCCAGAAAAAGTACGAATAAGCACAATACCTTTTTTTTTAATTTTGCTGCCCCTTGAATATCTTATGAAGGGAAAGCATAATTTGAGCAATTCTTCTTCTTTGGATAAGGGGCATCACTTTGTAATTCCATCCGTTTTTATGCCACGTAGTCGAAGATTCGGGGGTATATAGTTTTTGCCCTGTCCGTCCGTCTATCTGTGTGTTTGTCTATATGTCTAGACTGTCTTTTATCTGTTTGTCCGCAAAAACAATAACCTTGCCCCTAACTTTTAAGTGGTTGGGGCTATGATTTTCATATTTCAAAGGTATTCCTAGTGACAAGACCTTTCTTCGGGTACCACCAATTTTGATCTCTTAACCTTGGAGTTTTAACCACTTTTAGCAGAAAATATCAAAATTTAACTTGGTCATAACTTTTGAACAGTTGGCGCTTGGGCTTTCAAACTATACATGGTGACAAGACCTCTCAAAGATATAAATATTTTCGCCTGTCTGATCTCGACCTAAAAGTTTTGAAAAACTTTAATCTTGGCAGTAACTTTTGAACAGGTAGAACTGGACTTTTTCGAGAAGCACTGACTTTTACACCTGTATCATGTACGGAGGTACAAAGTTGATAATAGATAAGAAAACCTTTTTATTGGTCATAGATAGTGCCCGTAATGTTTTAAGGAGCTCTCAAATGGGAAGGCCGGGATTTAAGGGTATGGTGGTAGTCGTTTTTCTTTAAGGACAACTGGTTTGTACTTTGAAGTACAATAACCCGTTATTCTCGTTGAATAAAATGTTGAGCTAAATATTTATATCGTAAAGGAGCTTTACATTGTCCTAGTGTGAAAGTAAGCCGTCAACTGTAAAACTAAAAGTCTACGCTCCTCGTAAAAGTCCACTAGGGCTTTCATATTTCATATAATTATTCCTTGTCAGAAGAACTTCCTTTTGACACCAACAATTTTAACGTTGGAGTTTGACTTGCGTTTGAGAAACTTCGCCACAAGCTACCATACGGGACATCATTGTTTTTCATAAGATATTAGAAGTATCCCCGTTTCTTCATAATAATCTTATCACATTTTTAATATACTTTATCTTACCAGTAATAGATCAGATCATACCGGTAATAGATCAGATCATTATTTCGCAAATATATAATTTTCTTTCTTTTTTCCCCTTTTCTTTTTTTTTTTCATTTACCCCAAATTCTGTTTTCCCCTTTCCCTATATTTACCAAATAAATATTGCGCATTCTTCAGTTAATTTTTATTTTGACAAAAAATAATAAATTGACTGAGGTCTGAAGAACTTTAAGTATTATTGAATAATTGACTTAAACAGTTGATACAGGAATAGAGCTGTGGAATGTAAAAGTCCTGGTACTAAATGTTTAAAAGGTGTGGCCAAGGTTAGAGTTTTTAAAATGTGGGTCAACCTCTACAGTAGATTCAAAAAGGCAAAAACTTGGTGGTACTATAAAAGAAAGGTCTTGACACAATGAACACACGTGTAAAGAATGAAAGCTCTAGCACCAACTGTTCAAAAGTTATAACAAAGGTTAAACTTTGGTATTTTGTTGTAAAAGTAGGTCAAACTCTAAGGTCAAGGTTAAGTGATCAAATTTGGTGGTACCCAGTGGAAGGTCATCTCACAAAAACTACACCTGTGGAGTATCAAAGTCATAGCCCCACCCACGTAAAAGTTATGGGCAAGGTTAAATTCAAAAATAAAACCCAGAAAAAGTACGAATAAGCACAATACCTTTTTTTTTAATTTTGCTGCCCCTTGAATATCTTATGAAGGGAAAGCATAATTTGAGCAATTCTTCTTCTTTGGATAAGGGGCATCACTTTGTAATTCCATCCGTTTTTATGCCACGTAGTTGAAGATTCGGGGGTATATAGTTTTTGCCCTGTCCGTCCGTCTATCTGTGTGTTTGTCTATATGTCTAGACTGTCTTTTATCTATTTGTCCGCAAAAACAATAACCTTGCCCCTAACTTTTAAGTGGTTTGGGCTATGATTTTCATATTTCAAAGGTATTCCTAGTGACAAGACCTTTCTTCGGGTACCACCAATTTTGATCTCTTAACCTTGGAGTTTTAACCACTTTTAGCAGAAAATATCAAAATTTAACTTGGTCATAACTTTTGAACAGTTGGCGCTTGGGCTTTCAAACTATACATGGTGACAAGACCTCTCAAAGATATAAATATTTTCGCCTGTCTGATCTCGACCTAAAAGTATTGAAAAACTTTAATCTTGGCAGTAACTTTTGAACAGGTAGAACTGGACTTTTTCGAGAAGCACTGACTTTTACAGTTGACTTTTTAAACCTGTATCATGTACGGAGGTACAAAGTTGATAATAGATAAGAAAACCTTTTTATTGGTCATAGATAGTGCCCGTAATGTTTTAAGGAGCTCTCACATGGGAAGGCCGGGATTTAAGGGTATGGTGGTAGTCGTTTTTCTTTAAGGACAACTGGTTTGTACTTTGAAGTACAATAACCCGTTATTCTCGTTGAATAAAATGTTGAGCTAAATATTTATATCGTAAAGGAGCTTCCGTACATTGTCCTAGTGTGAAAGTAAGCCGTCAACTGTAAAACTAAAAGTCTACGCTCCTCGTAAAAGTCCACTAGGGCTTTCATATTTCACATAATTATTCCTTGTCAGAAGAACTTCCTTTTGACACCAACAATTTTAACGTTGGAGTTTGACTTGCGTTTGAGAAACTTCGCCACAAGCTACCATACGGGACATCATTGTTTTTCATAAGATATTAGAAGTATCCCCGTTTCTTCATAATAATCTTATCACATTTTTAATATACTTTATCTTACCAGTAATAGATCAGATCATACCGGTAATAGATCAGATCATTATTTCGCAAATATATTATTTTGCTTTCGGAATGTTTAAAATTCTTCCATTTTCTTTCTTTTTTTTTCCCTTTTCTTTTTTTTTTCATTTACCCCAAATTCTGTTTTCCCCTTTCCCTATATTTTCCAAATAAATATTGCGCATTCTTCAGTTAATTTTTATTTTGACAAAAAATAATAAATTGACTGAGGTCTGAAGAACTTTAAGTATTATTGAATAATTGACTTAAACAGTTGATACAGGAATAGAGCTGTGGAATGTAAAAGTCCTGGTACTAAATGTTTAAAAGGTGTGGCCAAGGTAAGAGTTTTTAAAATCTGGGTCAACCTCTACAGTAGATTCAAAAAGGCAAAAACTTGGTGGTACTATAAAAGAAAGGTCTTGACACAATGAACACACGTGTAAAGAATGAAAGCCCTACCACCAACTGTTCAAAAGCTATAACAAAGGTTAAACTTTGGTATTTTGTTGTAAAAGTAGGTCAAACTCTAAGGTCAAGGTTAAGTGATCAAATTTGGTGGTACCCAGTGGAAGGTCATCTCACAAAAACTACACCTGTGGAGTATCAAAGTCATAGCCCCACCCACGTAAAAGTTATGGGCAAGGTTAAATTCAAAAATAAAACCCAGAAAAAGTACGAATAAGCACAATACCTTTTTTTTAATTTTGCTGCCCCTTGAATATTTTATGAAGGGAAAGCATAATTTGAGCAATTCTTCTTCTTTGGATAAGGGGCATCACTTTGTAATTCCATCCGTTTTTATGCCACGTAGTTGAAGATTCGGGGGTATATAGTTTTTGCCCTGTCCGTCCGTCTATCTGTGTGTTTGTCTATATGTCTAGACTGTCTTTTATCTGTTTGTCCGCAAAAACAATAACCTTGCCCCTAACTTTTAAGTGGTTTGGGCTATGATTTTCATATTTCAAAGGTATTCCTAGTGACAAGACCTTTCTTCGGGTACCACCAATTTTGATCTCTTAACCTTGGAGTTTTAACCACTTTTAGCAGAAAATATCAAACTTTAACTTGGCCATAACTTTTGAACAGTTGGCGCTTGGGCTTTCAAACTATACATGGTGACAAGACCTCTCAAAGATATAAATATTTTCGCCTGTCTGATCTCGACCTAAAAGTATTGAAAAACTTTAATCTTGGCAGTAACTTTTGAACAGGTAGAACTGGACTTTTTCGAGAAGCACTGACTTTTACAGTTGACTTTTTAAACCTGTATCATGTACGGAGGTACAAAGTTGATAATAGATAAGAAAACCTTTTTATTGGTCATAGATAGTGCCCGTAATGTTTTAAGGAGCTCTCACATGGGAAGGCCGGGATTTAAGGGTATGGTGGTAGTCGTTTTTCTTTAAGGACAACTGGTTTGTACTTTGAAGTACAATAACCCGTTATTCTCGTTGAATAAAATGTTGAGCTAAATATTTATATCGTAAAGGAGCTTCCGTACATTGTCCTAGTGTGAAAGTAAGCCGTCAACTGTAAAACTAAAAGTCTACGCTCCTCGTAAAAGTCCACTAGGGCTTTCATATTTCACATAATTATTCCTTGTCAGAAGAACTTCCTTTTGACACCAACAATTTTAACGTTGGAGTTTGACTTGCGTTTGAGAAACTTCGCCACAAGCTACCATACGGGACATCATTGTTTTTCATAAGATATTAGAAGTATCCCCGTTTCTTCATAATAATCTTATCACATTTTTAATATACTTTATCTTACAAGTAATAGATCAGATCATACCGGTAATAGATCAGATCATTATTTCGCAAATATATTATGTTTTCGGAATGTTTAAAATTCTTCCATTTTCTTTCTTTTTTCCCCTTTTCTTTTTTTTTTTCATTTACCCCAAATTCTGTTTTCCCCTTTCCCTATATTTTCCAAATAAATATTGCGCATTCTTCAGTTAATTTTTATTTTGACAAAAAATAATAAATTGACTGAGGTCTGAAGAACTATTATTGAATAATTGACTTATACAGTTGATATAAATCAAAACTTACCTCATAGAATACCATATCCAAGGATTATTCATTGAGTACTCTTTCACAGGTTCTCTATGAAGTAACATAAACAAAGCTCGTTTGATTGATGAAAAAATAATTAATGCCTGAACATCAATTCTCGTTCTCTTTATTACTGGTATCAACATATTCCTTATAAGGTCAGACGACATGTTCACGTTCCTCAAATATATGCTTTGTTTTTCTTTATATTATATCAAAAATTATTCATATTTGGCATTTTCTTATGGTTTCTACATTCAATTTGTTTTCAATATTTTTATGCCCCCGTAAACGAAGTTTCGGGGGTATATAGTCTCTCTCTCTCTCTCTCTCTCTCTCTCTCTCTCTCTCTCTCTCTCTCTCTCTCTCTCTCTGTTGTTTGTCTGTTTGTCCACAAAAAATTTAAACCTTGCCCATAACTTTTGATTTAGTGGAACCATGATTTTCATATTTCACACGCGTATTCCTTGTTATAAGACCTTTCTTTGGGTAACACCAAATTTGACCTTTTGACCTTGACCTTCGAGTTTAGCCCACTTTTATATGAAAATTCTAAACTTTTACTTTGGCCATATATTTTGAACAGTAGATACCAGGACATTTATACTTCATATATGTATTCTTTGTTGAAAAACCTTTCATTGGATAGCAACAACCTTGACCTTGTAGATTTCCATACCTGTGAAAAAACTTAACCTTGGCCATAACCTTTGAACGGTAAGGGGTAGGGCTTTAATACTTCATATGTATAATCCTTGTGAGAAGACCCTTCATTGGATATCAAGTTGATATCCAATGATGGGTCTTCGCACTAGGATTACCCATATATTGAATACTATAGAAAACATTGCTACTATATTCTTGTGAAAAATCCATTTATTAGCCTCGAGCAGTTTTATGTATGGCGCCCGTTTCACAAGAATGAGCAAAACACATATACGTACATATATAGATTTTCATTCGAAATTTAGGCCTATGTTTACCAATTGTAAATTCAGGTTTTAAAGCTCATATTTTTATTAACAAAAATGAAAAAATGAAGATAACAAACAGTATTCACACTCGAAAGTCATTAAACAAACACAAATCAGTGAGCATCTCCTGCCGACCGATCACAACCGCCGTGTGCTCCTTTTCTAATCGGAAATGACAAATAAAAATTGCCAAATGATTCTGAAGAATTTTCTCCTTAGAAAAGGAGTTATATTTATTGGTGTAAGTTTGACTACCACTTGTAGAATTAAATCCCAGTTCCACTAATACACAATTTGAAATAATTCCAATTCAGTAATTATAGTTTCTATCTTAATTTACCTCATATCTAATCGTTGTAAATGTAAACCATACTTACGAATGTTAAGTTATCTGCCTGTGAATGTTTGTTTGTCGATAAACTATAATTAGCAATTTCGATCTGATTCTAGTAATCTTCATAGCTGATATAATCATCACTAAACTGTTTTTATCAGATAAATTACGTTTTGCATTTGCAATTTTTTTTTCATTTTTAACTTTAATTTACAATTGTGATTCATAGATTTAAGTGTAAAACAAGTAAGAGAAGTACCTGTATCTTACAACTGGTTGACACTTCGTGAACTTAATTTACACATGCTTTAGTTTCAATTTTTTAATCTAGTTTATAGACTGTAATTGTAAAACTATGATTATATCATTTTAATAAATGTGTCTTACAAATTTATGAGTTGTTCCTTTTTCTGTATCAACTGGCATAACTGTTTTTCCTCTATATAACATTATTAATTTTGTTTGATGAGAGAAATCTAAACATGTATATTGTATGTTACAGGTAAACTATGCATGTGTGTTTTCAACTTTTCATGCATAGTTGTCCCTGTTCTTACTGTGCCAATAAAGAAATATGGTACAGAATTGTCCGAAAAATTTAAAAGTTTTAAAATATTTTTTGGTAAATTTTAAAGAAGATACAGACAAATGAAGACCACTTTCATGGAATGTGAAAATTAAACTTTGTTGTGGAAAGGGTGCGAAATCCCTCTAATGTTTTCTATACTTTCATTTTACTTTTTTATTATGATACAATTACGTACTATGCAGAATAAATGTACCTTTTGATCAAATTTGATGTAATACATATCTTGACATTTATTATTTGCTGATAAAACTGGTATATACAGTATTATAACTTCCTCTTAATTATGGTCTCGAGTTTATACAGGTACATACCTTTACAATACACTTTCTTTGTTTCCACAGTCAGCACAAAGCCTGGGTTTTAAACTAATAGATATGAATACATTACACATGTTACATGTATGTATGATACCTTTCATATATATATATATATAAAATACACAGATAAGAGTTCGCAATTATATTTTTTCATTGTGATTTTTTTATGTACACAATCAGGTACATGTATGAGGAATTACAAACAGATAAAACCCAGGCACGTACCTGTGTTTGTCAAGCACAAAACGCATTCTATAAATTCATTAAGTAAATTACCCTATTCTCGTCGTAATTTGAGACTAATTTTACTTAGCTCTGAATCATCAATCATGCGATGACAATATGTTATTTTTCTCAATTTTTGTCAATTATTGAGTTAAGGATATTAATTTTACTTTTTCTTTCACAGTTTAAGGTAGTTTGCGGGAACTACTACAAGTATTGTCAGAATGGAACTCCATAAAAATCCAACACTTCTCCTCAACAAACCTCATCTTATAATATGTAATGACAAATTCCCAGCCTTTTATCAAAATTCTGCAGTTTTCTTCAGCTTTCAGGTCAAAGGTATTCAAAAAATTATCTCAACCTCTAACTTACTTAGTATTAAAAAAGTCTTCGTCTTATTTCAAAGCTGCTCAGTACAATAAAAAGGGCTGAAATGAAATCAGCACCATGTAGTTTCGTGCTCACTAGTCCATAAAGAAACCGGGTGTTCGATTAGGCATTGTTTTGTGTCACGGTTGGATATTCAAGTGGGCTATATCCTATTGTATTATAGCAGAATTGGATATTTGAATGGGCAAATGTTTCTTTTGGGCCAAAATTAGTAATTTTTTTAAGTAAGATGAATTCTCCATTCGATTCGAATACTCTTTGCATTACCAATTTCTAAAACACGGAAAGTTACTGACAAACAAGTTAATGGAACAGGAATATCAGCATTAGACTTTTTTTATAGATAAAATGACCTTGTCAGCAAATACAATCTATCATTTAGTCAAATGCTGACTGGCGTTCTTCATACTATTTTTAGGCCATTATTTACATATTGAGTTGTCGACGGATTTTCCCGTTATTTCCTGATCATGACAAGGAGCACACGCGGATGAGTCCGGTCAACAGGGAATTTTCACTCTTCCATGGCACCTGATCCAATATCTGATGTTTTAGAGGCCCGTATTTGGTCTGCTCCTAATTTGTATTGTTTGATGAACTTTTAGCTCAAATGCTGTTTGGTATCTGTATATATTTCGTGTAAAGAAAACCAGTAATTTATCTAAACTAGTAAATCAATCGATATAGTGATATATCCAGCATTAAAGTCCATAATGAAAATTATCATATTTACAGCTACTCAGTGAACAATGAGCGTTGAAGGAATATTCGAACTTAGGTAAATTTAACTCCAAGGGATTGTCTATTTAACAGATCCAAAATCATATACCGGGTATTTTATATATTTTTTATTTTCATTTAACAAGAGCAATGCTCAAATAATTAAACTTATAAAATAAAGCATGAAAAAATGAGCAAAAATCCCGCTCCAAATAGCCATTTCATTTAGAACTACAAGGACGCGGTAAATGCAATGTTTCATGAAATGGAATCTCGTTTAAATTCTTAAAGTCCGAATTAAACACAAATCTCTGAAGGTCGAAAAAATCAGATTTCTTCAAGGCATTTACTGCCATCACCAGACACCAGGGATTTCAAAACCAATTCTCATCGAATTTAAGAAGAGCATTGATTCATCGTTAGAAGTTATCTACTATTGAAATGACGCCTTCGTAAATGAGTAGATGTTCCAGCTCTGTGGTTGAGAGCAGGAGGACTCGGCAAGTGTGGTAAACTGGGTTTACCGTCTGTGTGTTTCTCTCTCCCTGAATCCTTTTCAAATTTGAAATTTTTTTCCGAGTTTGAACTCACTGGAGAACAAATCAAAGAATTTTTCAAAGGAATCCTGTTTTCGGAAAGGGATCCTAAGATACTTGCGCATTCCAATGTTTTCTCTCTTTTATCTTTCTGTAATGTTGGCACTGGTAGTTTACTGTCATGAACTGGTACGATTTTCTTTGAAAACCGGAAGGAAAGGAATTCTTCGGTTGAAAGTTTACAGTTTCTGATTGGTAGTTTGCTATGAGCTCCCGCCGTATCGTTGTCGATTGTCTTTTGCAGTTGGTCTCCGCATCTAAGTCTTTGTTGCGCTGCCTTAAACTTCGGTGAACTTTTTGTTCCATTTTTAGGGTTTTGTACAACTGGCTCCAAAGGAGGTAGAAGTGTGCTCTTTGCACGGCTTGTGTCCTTTGCAGTTTTTCTTGTGAAGTTCTTCCCAATTTGAGGTAACTTTGTTGATTTGCCCTGATTATATAAGACATGGGTAGGATGACGCTTCACGGGACACTTCAATCGTTGACGCATTTCCTCCAGTTCCTTCAATGCTACGTCTCTTTTCCAATAAAGATACTCCAGTGACGCCCAGTCTTCAGTGTCTGATGCAGTCATTTGGAACTGGCGACGCGCGTCCTTTAATTTTTCCTCAGTCTCAAACAACCACTCATGCATTGTAAATTCTTTCAGTTTCCAAACATCTCGCGCCTCCATAGGAATCCTTATGTTTACCAATTCTTGTTGAACGTTGCTCTTTTCCTTTATGTTTTCCTTACAAAGTTTCATCCAGTAACTGAAAATAAAATAATGTTTTAAAATCAAAAGCATTTATTTTTAGACAATTTCTGATCAAGAAATATATTCAATAAATTTATTACATATATTAAATTTAATTTACAATACATTAAAATTACATGCACTAACCTCGTTTCATTGTTGAGTGGAGTCCTTGTTTTCGAAATATTGTTTACCGTCCATTCTGCAAAGATAGAAGAGCATAATATTTCATTACTAAAGATATATTGCATTTATACGTTTCATACACAACTCTTAACTACTGTGCTAGCCTGTACAAGAAATATTTCACTAACCTTCATGTGAAAGGTCACTTTGAAAATATTTATACTCTGCATTCTCGTCAATGTACAATCTCTCCTCTGCTATGCGTGGCAAACTGCAACAAATTATAGATTCTATCATTATTTGCCTATACTTACATACATGTATATAAAGATGTTTTCCTTAAAATATAAGTGTATGCATATACACGTGAAGAAAATAAACATTTTACATAAGTAAGTAGATAAACAACACTTACTTCATATAAAATGCCATCGTTTCTTGTGATTTCACCGAAAAATTTTTAGTTGTTGAAAGGCTTCACCTCGATATTCACCAGTTTTGGTTGTTAGCAATAAAGTTATGACGTTCAAGTTATTGTGACGTCATAGGTATTGTTACGTTACAGTTCTCTTCAAGTAAATCAAGCAAGCGCAAAAATGACCTTGTTATGATATGGCTTCATTTACCTATGATCCTGATTAGTTCAAAATTTTACTTTTAAGTTACCGTATCGCAGTTTGAATTTTATAAAATCGCATCTTAATTTATACATCCCCCTTTTCTTTATTGTTGCGTCAATTAAAATGTAATAGGGCCCTAGTGTCGGATGGTTTAATTTTGTAAAGTCTGGCCATATCGAACATGCACTACCCATAGAACGTATCACAAGCACTTATTTTAAAAATAATTTTTCAACCCATAGTGTAAGAATAACATTATTATTATACTATGTGTTCAGAGACAAGTGAAAATGACCCCCCCCCCCCCCTTCCAGCAAATTCCACAGCAACTCGTTTATCTCCCATGGAAACATCCATCGAGAGTGTAGAGTATTCAAACTGGTATTAAATTGGACAAAACAGAATTTCTGTACAGGATATTTGAGATGCCAAATTCATTTTGCTAGGAAACATTACTAAATTTCACTTTAAAACACTAATTTTACATGTATGTTAGCCAACTGATGGTTATCTATCTGTTTACGTCATTTCTTTGACATTAATGCAAATTTTAACAGATTTTAGTTAATTTTTTGGAAAATCTTCCTTTAAACTGATGACTGAATTTCTGAACTTGTGTTTAAGAATCCATTTACATCAAGACAACTGTATTTCTCCTATTTGTTTAAGAATTAATTTACATCAAAAGTTATTATTGTACTAAATTCAATAATTAGAATATCGAGATGACGTCAGCAAATTCTGACAGAATCAAGCTCCATAGGTTTCAGTTCAGGTTATTTTTTCCAAGAGATGTTGCACCATTTTATTTTGTAACGATTGTTTATTAAATGATTATTATGTAGAGATTTGTCAAACTGGTACAGCTGTATAGAATACAATTTTCCACAGCTACTGTATGTCCCCTCCTCTACAATACTTGTACCTAGAGATGTACTGAACATGCATTTTCTTAAACCAATACCCTCTACCGTTCTATTCTAAAGATCAGAGAAACATCTGATAACTTTTTCTTTACTTTAATAACAATTTTCCAACAACAGAGAAAAGTGAATCCACACCACAGATATTTGAACAAGAAAAATTTATCTTAAAAATTGTACAGAGTCATTACCCTGCATAACTAAATTTTGGGAAAAAAATTACCAATTCACCCAATAATAGTAAAACTGTGACCCTTGATGCACACCAAACTCAAAACATGAAATGGCCAAAAAAATAAAAATAATAATACCAAATTCTCATCCTTCTTTTATCAATATAAATTATCCTTTTATCAACATAATTTTCCTTATATCAACAAAATTTTTCCATGCATATCAAAAGGATCATTGAAGATACTTTTCTTCAAAAAGTGAGAAACATTGTAAGAATTTCATAATTTGTATACTAGTATACATAAATCATACATATTAATTCTGCTGATACATTTTTAAACACAAAACTAAAGAAATAAAAATTCAGTAACAATAACATGGAATATAAGAAGTAAAAATAAAATATTTCAAGTATTCATAACTGGAAGATTGAAATCATAATACTACATAAAATACTGGACATTACTGGTAGACAAATCCAATCAATTTACTGAAAATTCGATGAAAAGAAAAAAATTAATCAAATTCATTATGCAGGATACACAAATTCAGCTGTATTTACATGTAAATTTGAATTAACTTTATCAAAAAGCAGAAACTTCAATTTGGTTATATATACATTCAAAAGTATCCAATTGAAATCCAGAAATCTTTCATATGTACATTACAAAAATGCAACTCCTCAAAACATCTTTATAAATGCTAAAACTACAACTACAAGAATACAGTGATTTTTTTCACATTCTTTCAATAGAATTGACTACATATAATTGTAAATGTGTATATTTAAAGAAGTGATGAGGTTTTTTTGTTTACATTACTGAAAAGCAAAGTGAACACTCACAATATTAAACTGAACAATTATCAACAAAGATGAAGACATACGTAAACTACACATGACTGTAAATAAAAATACAGTAAAACTTGTTCAATCCGGACGCTACTGGTTTCAAAGAAATTGGCTGAATAAGCAACATTACGGATTGGACAACATTATCCATACAATTGAATTTACTGAAAGTGGATTTAAAGTTTACACTGTATTAGAAAAAAATTGAAATTAAACAGCGTCCAGATTGGACAAGTTTCACTGAATATTCATTAAGATGAAGAAAAAATTGTGACACTACTGGTATACTTTATTGTATAATACAGGACTATAAAAAAAATTGTATGGTGTTTATTAATAACACACCATATACACTTTAAACTTGCTGATAACAACGGCAAGATAGGACATTTTAATCTTTTCTTTAAGGAATTTATTCCAATTCTTATAATTTTTATTGCATATTTCTTATGGTGTTGCAAAGTGCATGCATCTTCTAAATTAAAGGCAAACAGAAACATTATTACAACATATTAGGAGTACATGAATATTAATTTTTCAAGTCAATACAATAAGGAATGCACACCATTACTTGCACAAGTAAAAATATACAAGGCTCCAAAATTTTATTTTTCTCTTTAACAATTTGTCCTCTGAAATTTATGTAAGAAATTAAATTTTTTTTTAAATCTTAAAATCAATATTTGAAAAATATGAACATCAAAAAATCTTAAGAATTACATTTTCTGTTGATTTTGTTTTCAGAAAGAAATTTTTAACAGAGACCTAAAATTAAAAAAAAATCAAATATAAACTGTAACTGTTTGGACAAAAATAACCCAACTATAATAACAAATTTCAAATATATAATTCAAAACAAATTGCATGTTCCTGATCAGACTAATAATGATTTAAAGCTTTAATAGTTCATTCATGATATATGGTCCACATACACCTAAACAAAATGACTTAAACTTCATTGCACTGTTTGAAAACCTTTGACCTTTGACCTAATTTCGGGCCTCGCCAACGAGGGACAAGATCATGAGGAAGAGGTTGATGATGTCCAGGTAAAGGTTGAGGGCGGCGAAGATGTATTCCTCGGGGGACAGGCTGTACTTGTGTTTCCCTCCCAACATCAGCTGGGTGTCAAAGACCAAATACTGAAAGCATTTTCAAAAACGCATACAAATCAACCAAAGCTTTTTTTTAAATGTATTTTTATGTACTGAAAAATAAATTATTTTTGTGGGGTCAATTTTTGGAGGTTTGCAGAAAAATATTGGTTTCTTGGGATTTGATTTTGTGGTTGGAAAATGTTTAGTACTGTAGTAATGCATATGTATGTTACATTTCATCATTATATAATGTTCTGTTAAAATGTTAAATTTCAAAATTTACTCTTTTATGTACAATTTATGAAAAGGAGAGAAAATGCTCAGTACAATTTATATTAGAGATATTACACTAATTTAACTGTTGCAGAAATGAAAAACAAAGATGAAGAAGAATTACTTTTTTTCAATTGCTGAGACACTTGCATTACTTACGAAAGAAAACAGCAGAGCCCCAAGGCTGGCATAGACAACAGAAAGAACCTGAAATCAGTAAAAGAAAATTGTATTTTCAATATACAAAACATATCACTGTCTAGGTAACTGCAAATAAACTTCATCTGTCAAATTTCACAATGTGTCATTTACACATTATAGGAGATGTTGTATAATAAAGAATTTTGTCTAAATCAGCTAATTTCTTAGGAACAGTGTGTATGTGTCTGAATTAGACAAGTTGTACTGTATTTGTTTGTTTTTACTTACCTTAGTGTGAAATATTGCAGCAAAGATTCCAAATATTATTAGGACAACCAGGAATACAAAAAGAAGCCCACCACACATTGTAAAGTCAAACTGAAATACATAATAAATCATATATTTCTATCAATTGCAGCATTATCAAAGACTCTTGGGTTAAGTACATTTTTTCACTTTTTGAATTATTCCAAACTTAGTATAAATAAAAGGTCACAAAGCTCATCTTGCTGAATGTTATTTATTATAAGTTTAGCAATGTCTGACAGCGAACAAACTTTTTGGAAGTTCTGGCATCCCTAGATGCAACATCTAAGTCTGGTCTAGGTAAGACCTCTAGTTCTGGGAATGGACATTTTTAAACACAAAGGAAATGTTAGAAAAAGTGTTTGAATCATGTAAGATAATATGCATCAATTAAATTAATTAAGTTAGTTATTCAAATGGAAAATTTAAGTAAAATCCAGCATCAGGCACAAGTCTGAAACAGTGCATCCCATGTGCATCATCCATGAGGGTTTAGTAACAATTAGGCTTTATACAGTAATTATAAGGAATGGACTTTGTCCAAAAACTGGAACACATTCAGTTATAGTCTAGTAGTGTGTATTCCTAGATGCATCATATAAGCAAGCTTAATGGCCATAGGGCTTATTATTACTGGGAATGAGACCAGCTCCTTAAAAATGTTAATATCAATCTTTTGAACAATATATCAGTTAAAAATTCAGCATCTGAAATCTCTTACGTATAATAAAATGTATTAAGATGCACCAACTATTGCAACTCTGATCAATATATGGCAGAAAGAAAGTTGGAAATAATTCTGCTCAAAACCTTAATCTTAAATGCCAATATTAAGTAAATTAAAAGTAAAGTATTACCCCCCTCCCTTCCTTTCCATTTTGATTATCTGTTTAAACTGTTAGAATCATACTTACTTTTGTTTGAAATGCAAATAGAGTCAGTGCTAAGCATACACCCTACAAATATTAAATAAAAATAAAAATTAATGTCAGAATTTATTTTACTTTTTTTTCAAATCCTTAAAAATTTTTATAAAGACCAAGAAAAATGCAGCTTATATAATTCAAATCAGATTTAATACAAAAACAGTTTTA